GCTACTATAGAGCTGCCATAGCTTTGGCTTGCTTTTGAGATCCGTCTGGTTTTGATGGCAGCATGCGGATTGATATAAACCACTTGCTTTTTGCCAAATCATGTCTCCTTTGAGGGCTACACCTTCACAACCATGAAAGGTATTTCTCAGAGCTGTGTATCTGCAAATGGAGGCAGTCCCAGGAGAAGTTTTGCCTTTTCTTATTCCTAGACACTCACTGTGCAGATTTCAAGACAGATTTGGACTCTCCCCCCCCCCGCCCCCCAAGAAAAAAAGTAACGGTAAAATTAGTTTTGGAATTAATTTTAGAAAATATTCATTTAAATACCTTGCTGAATATCACTAGAATACTACCAACGTCCAGCAACAGTTATGCTAAGTTTGTGAAACTGTTGAGTTGTGCAGAGTGGGAAGGAAGATGATGGCATCTTTTCCTCTCAGTTACCATGTAGAGAAAAATATTCCAAACTGAACCTTGAAAGTTATCAAAACCTGTAATGCTTTTGATTTCAAGAGAAAAACACAAATTAATGAAAGAAAAGGTGTTCTAGGAAATACTTCCTAATAAGATTTTTCCTAACACTTGAAAAATGAAAGCCTTTCTGAAAGAAATTTATTGTTCCTAGGTTTTTTGGTTGTGTTTTTTTTAACCCAACCCTTTTTTCTTGGGGAAAAGGGAGAGGATGCTATAAAGTCTCTGTACAAAGGAAAGTGAAGAGCACCCAGTCTTCTAAATGCAAAGGGGGCATAGAATCATAGAATCGTTACGGTTGGAAGAGACCTCAAAGATCATTAAATCCAACCGTATACTCAATACCACCATGCCCACTAAACCATGTCTCGAAGCACCACGTCTAAACATTTTTTGAACATCTCCAGGGATGGTGACTCCACCACCTCCCTGGGGAGCCCGTTCCAATGCTTAACGACTCGCACTGTGAAGAAGTTCTTCCTAATATCCAACCTGAACCTCCCCTGGCACAACTTGAGACCGATTCCTCTTGTCCTATCGCTAGTTACTGGGGAGAGAGACCAACCCCCCGCCTCACTACAACCTCCTTTCAGGTGGTTGTAGAGGGTGATCAGGTCTCCCCTCAGCCTCCTCTTCTCCAGACTTTTCTCTCCTCTCGACTTTTGCATTATAAAGCCACTGCTGCTCATTCCTGGTATTCTGCTGTTCCTCGTCTTCTGACCTTGACTTTTCACAGGAAAATTTCACAAGACAAATAAAGACCCTGTCACAACAAATTCTGGCCTGTATTCTGCTGAACTTTGTTTTAAAATGTTTGTTGATTTTTAGTGGCTAACAGTTATCAGGTGATAACACAAGGGTGGGAAGGGGAAAAAAGAGCCTGTGTTGGATTTATATGGGTGCTCCTGAAGGTCATGCCGCCATGCAAGGGCAGGTGCAATCCTATGGGAAACACAGAGCAATGGTCAGCTCAGCTTAAAAACCCCCCTCCCACATGTGCTTAGTGCTGCTGGGCACCTCACCCTAAGCACCAGGGTGAGGGGCCAGCAGAGCACGGGAAGGAGGTGCAAACCACTAGGGAAAACATTTGATGCGGCAGCTGAAAATTGGTATTTATTTGCCAGATACCAGGTAAATCCAAGCTTACCCCAACACAATGCGATGGTTTTGGGCAGCGTCGCCTAGCCTGGGGCACCAAGAGGGAGCAATGGGGGTTTGCAGTGGGTCCCCTGCCACCCTCCTCACCCCCGTGCCGAAGAGCAGCTGTCTGCCTGGGGAGACCAGTGCTGCTACGTCCAGGGTCTACTTTGGAGCCAGGACATCTATCAAGATCACTCCTACCTTGGCTGCCACCATAACGTCACCATCACAGCCCCCACCCCTCAAATCTGCTGTGACCATGACCTCTCCAGCCCTATGCCATCAGCACCTCCCTGCTTCCCCGCATCCTCCGGCAGGTGATGGTGGAGGCTGCAGTGGGGATGTCTTCTCCTCCCTGGTCAGTTGTGATCCCCTGGGTTCGGGATGGTCTAGCAGAGCAAAGCTGCCGTGCCTGCAGAAGGTTGTCCATGCCCTCTTCATGCCATCAAAGTGGGGTTTCCTACCTCTTGGATGACGAGTGAGGAAAATTCAGCTTGACAGGTGGCCCTTTCCCCTTCACCAGGGAAGGGGGACAGCAGCTGGCCAGCGGGTGCCCACACCTTCCCAGTTTGGTCCAACACCAGTCACAGGGACAACGTTTCACTCCATGGCCAGGGAGAAGGGAAATATCCATCAGAGGAGGACTGGGGAATTTGTGTCTTTTGGCACAACTTTTTGGCTCTTTCAGAGCTGAAAGCAGTGCAACGGACTGGGTTTCTAGGGACAGAGAGAGACAAGGATAGAGAGAATTTCCTCTCCTAGAAGAGAAGATACATGAGATCATCTAGATCCCCTCTTTGGTTAAATCAAAGTTGGGCATAACTGAGACATATATTACAGAAATTGCCAAAGGTAAAGGTGGACTGTCTTTTAAATATTTTACACCTATCTATGTACATTCCTCATAATTTCAAACTCACAATAAATAAAGGAGGAAATACTATCGCCTACTTTTATGGTTCTCACTTCTTGTTGTTTTTTCTGGCACTTCCTCAAATTCTGACATAAATTTCAGCCTTTGCTTTAGAAACAAGGCTCTGTTTTTCATGGTTAGAGAGAAAAAAAATGAAAAGGTTAACCCTGAAGTCAAAATGCAGAAGCCACGCCAAACAAATCCGGTGTTTATCTTCATTTCACAGCTCATTTTTTAAGTCTATCCTGCGATTTGGAGAGCTGATCCAATATTTTCAGTGTCCCGGCCTGTCAAGGGTGGTATATGAAGTACAGAAGGAAGGCAAGCACTAAGCACACTGGACTTCTACAGCAACATTGTGTCTGCCACAGAGAACACAGGAAGACTTAAAAAAGAAAATCATAGCCCAGTGTGGATGGATAAATATTGTGTGAGTACTTCGCCTTGCTTCTGTCTTTGACAGCTCATAAGGTAATAAATCTGGCATTTTTTAAGATTTTCCAGCTTTTTCTATACAGATGCGTGCTCTTGAAGTTCAAGAAAACTCAGGTAATTGAGTGGAACAGCTCAGCACGAGCGATTAGCATGCACTAATTCTCCTTTAACCCTTCCTTTCTCCACTAAGGCACCTTTGTAATGCAGCATGAGTTACTTTATCATCTACTGATTTTATCATTTACATGGTCATTAATATAGATATACAGACACGAGGAATTACCAGGAATCAGAGGTATTATATAGCAGATACCTTACTAATTTCCAATTTTCGTTTTAATAATTATTCAAAGCAGACCTTTATGTGGACTCTAACCCAGCAGGTCCTGGCCTGCAGTTGATGGACTCCTGCCAGCCCCAGCAAGCCGCAGCCATCCTGGAGTCCCTCTGAACATCATCGCTTATACTTTATACTGGGGGACCCAAACATTTTTGTAATACTAGACTGCTCTTAATCCTCACAATTTCATGTGTAGCACTGTGGATCCCATCACCAAGCCTGTAAGTGTAAGTACTGCTCCTGAAAGCAAAATTTGCCCATTTCAATGACACTGAAGTGTTTTATGAAAAGGAAAAACATGTCATGCTTTACTGAAGAAAGTGTGACCACAAAAGCTAGCACATTCAGGGAACCTGGTAATGCTTTGTGAAGGCACCCAGTGTGCATTTACAGAAATCTGGAACTTACTTGCACTGATGCATCTCTCCTGGGGGCAACAGCCATGTGGAAACATTTGAAAAGTGGGAATGATGTAAATACATTAAACCTTCACACTGATGTTTTTCCTATTTGGAACTTTTAATGTGCTTTATTACCCAATGTTTAGTCACAGTCCCTAAATTATAGAAGTTGTGCCTAAATACCAGGAACTGAGGACCAGCATTTGTGTCATGCCCAGCGTGGGTCATGACCATCCTGCAAGGTGCCTCTCTGTGAACTAAACCACAAGAGAACAAGGGTAACGTGCTGGCATTATGTTATGTTACTTTGAACTAAAAGGTTGAGGGTTTCTTCAGAGGTCCTTTGTCTAAGTCCCTCATTAGGCTAGTGATGACATTCATGAAACAAATAAAAAAAAAGACTAAAAAAGAAACCTAAAGTCAGTTGCCCTTGTCCCTGTTGCAGGTACCTTCTCGTGGTGGAAGCAGAAACCATGAATGACTCCAAATGAGAGAGGCTCAGAGTGTAGGTACCCAAAGGGTTGTAATTTATCAGTGCGCTCCTTTACAAGCCCTGAGGCAACGTTAAACATCTCTTTTCCAGCACAAATAGCTGTAGATTTGTTCTGTTTTATGAGTTACTTTAGATATTTTTTTTCTGCTGATTTGCATATTGTCAAAACAAAGATCTTACATCTGTTTCATTTAAAATTCCTAATTCAGGCTTACAGCCAAGCTTCAAACCAGTTTTGAGGAGTTAGCAGAATTAAGCAGTGACTTATTCTTTTGTATTTTCCAAATGCTATTAATTTTAATATATTTGTCATTGTAAGTACTAAGTACAGTTTTACTACGATGATTCTGAAAAATCGCCTCCCAGAACACTATTTTCCTAAATTATGTAGTCTGTGATAAATTATTTTAAACAATTTTGTATAACTCAGGCAGCTGAGCTGAGTTTGAGGCTACAATAGATGATGTCTTTATCTTACTTTGCACACTAATTACTGTAATAACTGTGACACTATTGTTGTCCATACTACTTTAGACTGCAGGGAGGTTATAATTCAGTTTTAATAGTTTAAAACAACTCTTTGCTATACCAATGACAGGGTTGCTTGTTTTCATTTAGTATGTTATATTTTGGAATGCACAAATAATTTATTTAAATAAAGGTATATACAAATATGATGAAGGAAAAACTCTACAGAATTCAGTACAATGGCTGCATGCACTGGGAATGATGCTATGGTTTGCTTCAGAGGCGTGGAGTATGAACTGAAAACTAGGAAAAGTTTTGACGGTGTGCTGAAAATCCCATCACCACATCGAAGGGTCTTCAAACCTGCAATACATATTATGAATAAAAAAACCCCATTAAACACATTTTAAAGGCCCTTCTGAAAACTCCAGATTTAGCACTACCTAAAATTTTCATTTTAATAACAGCAGCAATAAGGAATACACATATATATTTGCAGTTGAAGATTGTATATGCAACTCCCATCAAAGCAGAGGCATCCTGGTTGGCCAAATGTCAATACTTTGGTACTAGAACCTGCCTCTCCATACCGCTGCCCAGATGGTGTGCTTTTACACCACTGAGACTCACTGCAAAGCTGCTTTATGCCATTAAGAAGCACTTAATGAAATTCAGCTAGAAAACTATGATACATTGAAATACAACTAGAGAGATTTTTCGCTGTTACTCAGGAGTAAACAGTTTACAAAGACAATTCACTGAGCCCCCCCCAAAAAAAAAAACCAAAACCAAACAAATCAAAAAAAACCCCATATGTCATGATGTCAGCACCTTCAAAAAAAATTGAAGTCCACAGCCACCATCCTAAAATATTATTGTAGTATTCCGCTGCTCAATATCAAACATTTGAAATGCATGTTGAAAGGGTTGCTGAGGGTAGGATTCGATCTAGAGGTCCTCTGCTTGCAAACAGCTGTTCTGTCTACACAGCAAGTGAGCCAACAAGTGGAGAACATGGAGAGGGACTAGAGGAAATGCATTTGATTTAATTTTGGCCATCTAAAAGCTGGGCATCTAGTCTTCCTTCACAGTCACTGGGGAGACACTGACAGCTTGAGCGGGCAATTGATCCTGCACATTTTCGGATGGAAGGTTCATTTGGAGATACCCACCCCTGCAATGGACTGTGAAGGCAGCCTGGACAGCTACTTCACGCTAGATACCTAACCCTTAAAGAGGCAATAGTAGGGGAGAGGCATCTGATTATTGAGTTTTAAAGGTTTTCTCATGACTCCACAGGCTTGACAAGGTCAGAAACATGCCACGTGAGAAGTTTTTCTCATAAGAACTTATTTTTACTCAGGTCAAGGTACCTCCTTTTTTTATTCCTTAACCTCCTACATTTTAACTGGTTTCTATAAGAATCTCTCTAAACTTTCTTTATATGGTCAGACATACACCTAGACCGCAAAATACTTTGGGGTATATATTAGTCAGCAAAAGTGAAATGTCAAACCAGGCCAGCCAAGCTGAATACAGGTAAGTTGTTTATTAATACCTCAATATCTATTTACAAAGTTCATTTTGAGAACTCATGAAATGTGTGTCTCTCTCACTGATTCACTGAGTGCAAATTACACCTGCTCCGTAACTGGCTTCTAAAACACATACTTCTTAAATTTAAGTTCAGAATAATACCAGCCTGCCTTTCATTCATTCAGCCTGGCTTCCTCCAGGAGGAAGGCTTAGATAGCCACGTTGTACCTGGGCATATTTGCTGTGTGTCCAGCTGTCCACCCCTGCCTGGCTCCCCTAACTTCCCCACCAGCTTTCAAACCCTCTGGAGAATTCCAGCCAAGTCACAGAGAGGTACAGCTGTCTCAGAGATATTAAGTTCCTGATGTGCCATGAAACACAGGACTGGGTAGAAAGAAGATTTCATTATGTCCTCACATGGAGGAAAAACCTGGAGCAGGGTTCAGAATCCATACGGGCTTTTATCCTAGAAAACTAGACATCATTGTTCCCAGTACTCCCATAATTGTCATCGATGAATGACAAACACCATACCCAGTTTAAAGTGCTGTTACAGGGGGGTACGAAATAAAAATCTGTTTCTCATAATTTCTCGATCTTAAATGCAGACTAGTTTGTTATTTCGCTCATGAGTTTTTGCTCCCTGGTGTGTTATAAATAGCATTATTGAAACAATAATAATAACCATAAAGTTTTGTTATGAAGGGGTGAAAATTACAGAGAGTATTAGACTTTGTACTGCCCTGTGTGTTGCCTCAAATTCATGGCAGCGGAAATTTCCCATTATGTGAGGGCTCTGCCTTGTCATTACCAAACACAAAATAGTCTGGCACATTTCTCTGCACTCCATGCAATTTTTTACATAAGCATCTGCAGAGAAAACTGCATCCCCACAGCTGCGGTTAGTCATCAAACCGTAAGTCAACGGTCTCCCTATGCATAGAACTGCAAGTCTCATGGACAAGCTCCCTTGATGGCAGTAGAAATTTTGGTCTCCTTTCAGTGACAAGCTCATGCCCTAAGTTCACTGCTACAGACTATTATGCTTAAGTACTTAACTAGTCTAATTGAGCCTTTGCACAGCTGATGAAAGTGCAGAGCATTTGCTCGCAGACCCCTGAGAAGACTACTGCATAAAACACTTATTTCCACAGTAGAAGTATTATCAGCAAACTTCAGGATATCAGTAAAGGCTTAAACTGATCTCATTCATGCTTGATTGTGAGTAAAATTAAAAACAATATTTTCTTTCGTGGGCCAAAACTCCCCCTGTATCTTATTTTTTCAACACACTTACTTTTCAGCTATGTAAATTGTAGTCGCTACTACAGTGTCTTACATTATAGCTAAAGTATCACTGCCTAACTAGATAAATACAGCATGTACATTTGAAATCCCAACATTGCTTGAAACACCACTATTATTTTAAACCAAGTGCAAATGGAAATATAAAGGCCTTTTTCCCTTTGTAAAATATTAGGTACAAAACCAATGTGAAATACTGTATTTTAAAGACCAATCATAGCCATGTATTTGTGTATAAGTTAATCTATGTGCATATTTACCACTCATACATCTTCAGCGGAAGAATTTAAACCTGTTTGAGTAGCAAATGAGTAGAAATATGCCATCTTTGGGGCTCCAGTACATAAGCAATCATCATTAGGCATCAGCATACAATTCTGTGTAATAAAGCTCGGCATGGGGCAAGCGTTGTGGGAACGCTTCCCTTCCTCTAAAGAGCGGGTATGGCCTGCTCCCAAAATCAGGAAACAAGGAGTTTGGACTATATTATATCTGGTAAGGCATTTTTTGCATTTATAGATGGTACTAGCTCTTAACAAAAAAGGAATTAAAAATGTTAAGGACATGTTTACCCAGCTGTTGGTGGCATATGTTTTCTCCCTGTGAAACATATTTATTGATAACAAATGAAACTGTTCAATCTAAATGAGAAGTGAAAGGCACCACAAAACCCCTCCATACATACCTGGATCTAGGAATATTTTCTGTGCTTTCCCTCAACAAGAGGTCTGAGATCAGTGTCTCTGGGCTTGATCTCTTTCCATATCTAAGGAAAGACCAAAAAAAAGTCATATTTTTGTACATGTCAGTTTTTAAAAATGAAGAGTAAGGACAGAACCTTTAGTGAATCTTTTTTTTCCATATTTTTCTAACCTTTTTCTGTAATGATTTTACATGATAGTATTGAGAAACTCTGAATATTTCTCAATTTGGTGGCTGTTCCTGAATACTCCAGGACCTTGCACCTTACTGATGTGAGCATGGAGGAAGAGGGAGGAGGCAGTGAATGACGTGACCTCTGAGCATGCCATGCTTCCCTGTAAACCCAGTTCCACCATCTCATTAACATTGGTTTAGATGCTACTGTAGCCTTCATCAGAAATTACGTAAATGAGGAGTGAAATTTATCTATTAAGTTAATAGAAAACAAAATTCAGTGTGCCATATTAGCCAAGGAATTGGCCAAGATTTTTTAAGACAGCCAGTACATTTGGGGCTGCCCAACACATAGCACTTTAGGTTGTAAAATCTGAGCTACCTCTCAAGGTAATCATTGCTCTTGAGCTATGCAGCTATGGGAAAGAAAACTTTCTGATTCAGAGTTCTTCTTCAATTAAACGGGATATCACCGTCTACCTTTGTCCCATATTCATACATCAGCTGTCTTTTTATTCTTTTTATTTGCTTTTTGCTTTTTTTTTTTTTTTTTTAAATCCTGGATACTATACATTGCTGAACAGTTAAAAGTAACTGCAATTCCTGTTCTTGGGAAGGAATTTACTCTCTTTTCCTGAGAAAACAGAAGCGACAATGAGTAGCCAGCTTGACAGACATTTCATCGCTGTAAGGATTCATTAGCCTAAGAGTCATAACTACAAGCAAACGCTCCCTTGGTTGGAAAGAATTAAGGTCATGGTTTGTAACTAACTTGTGTATGTAGTTAGTCTGAATCACAAAGTACACTAACAGATAACAGCTTTGTGAATGCCACTTGAGTCAAATTCTGATTCCAGAGAAATCAAGGGTGTAATTAAGGACTTACATTTTATCCTTTGCTATCAAGATGTTTCTGCAATGACTTGATCTAAATTGGGCCAAAAAAAACCCCACCTTCCCAAACTATACCTAAAAAGCTAGCAGTCTTACCTATTGATGGCATAAATTCCTGAAAAGTGGAAACATATCTCACTTTTCAACCATTTTATTCAACTGTTTGTATTTTTACATCGCCTTCATCATTTTAGTACTTTACCTCTGCTCCAGAAAGACAAAGCATCAGTTTCAGAAATTTGAAGTAAGTAAGTTTCTTTAGCTGACTGAAAGCAAGTATCTGAAAAGAGCCAGTCAGACATAGTAAAATGCTATTACAATAACGCAATCAAGCATGATGCTGAATCAAATACCTTGCACTCCATCACCACAAAGGGATTTATTTCCTTCTAGTTCCCTACTCTGATTAATATGGATGTGACCTGGACTACAACAGAGGGGGAATCTAATTTGCCATTATGTTAAAGAAATTGATTTAACAAATCAAGAACTTGTTCCAACAGCTCACACTTGGGCAAAACTCCCACTAATATCTCGGAAAGTTTTGTCTGAATAAGAAATAGGTAGCAACCCCCCGGAACACAGAGATTCAGTTAAATCATGAAGACGACTGTGTGGAGGAGATACCTTTTGTACGAGTCCCTTCAGTGCCTTGTCTAGACCAGTGGTGCTACCTGTGCTGGACGGACCCACCATGCCCTCACCCAGCAAGGCTGCACACAAGGTGATCACTGACCGTGACCAACTGGGAT